GGGGTAAAGAGGAAGGGGAAGATAAAGTGTGACGCCAGGAGTCGAGAGACACGCAGAAGGAAACTGCAGAATACCTTTGTCTTTTTGGTTTTCTCCTCTTTTTCTTCGAAAATAGAAGATAATTTTACTAATTTATATTTTAAATAACTTTTTGTAAATTGACAAATAAATATGAATACTTTTTAGAAAAATTAATTGTAAAGGAAATATAGATTAATAGTTTATTGATTTAATAAGATGGATAACTAATATGAGACAATTATTTTTGCATAATGATGAACTAATATAGAAGATGGAGTACCATTTTTTTGTGCATTATTATTCCAAAAGATTAAAATGGTAATTAAATAGAGAAATTTACAAAAAGAAAATAAGAAGCTATTGGCTTTACTCGAGGTTAATGGTATTAAGGTACGTAGGAGTTAGGACTAGTTGTTTGTATCAAAGTTCGAATCTTAATCATATAAATTTTTATTATTAAGTTTATTTATTTATTATTCTTAATCATTAGTATGTTTGTTTTTTTGATATGTTATAATCAAATTAATAAATTTGAATAATTAATATATAAGTCTATAAAAAATCTATAAAAATTACCGTATCATTATCAACTATTGCCCCCTTTCTTTTTCTCATTCTCAACTTACACCACCTATCACCATTCACAACACAATCACCATCATTGTCAATCACATAATCAATTGTCACCATCCCATTTACAATCACCATTATTGTATGTAATAACCACCCGCTACTATCAACAATCATCATTATATATCGTTAACCACTGTCATCATTCACTATCACCATCAGCTATTACTATCTTCAACCATTAGGCATCAATCATTATTGTCCGTCGCCATCACCACTGGATACTATCCACAATACCACCATTAGTCAATATCATCCACATTCAGCATCCATTACCACCACAGCTACTAATTATTGTTGATACATTATTAGATTAATTTATTATTAATTAAAAAATATTTAATATTTTTTAGATAAAGACGAGCTATACATTCAATGAAGATCACGATTTAATTGCAAGACTATAAATTGAAATTCAATAGTTCCCTAGCAATTATTGTCCACTATTTACTTACCTACCTTTTCTCAATGTCTCTATGTTTCTCACTTCTTGAATTCGAAACTTAAACTTGACATATCTATGACAAACCTGAACCAATAACATATCACTTGAGCTGCAGATTACAAATATAGACTGCAAACAAGATGGAATAAAGAAGGCGAAGTAAGTGCCAACAAGCTATCTATACAACCACACAACCACTACCATATAAAATATTCTGCCAAACGATTAATTCAACTTCAATGGCTTAGTTCCGTTCCTGCTGATCGCTTACCATGCTTGGATCATAGCCTAAGTCAGAGGAACACACCAAATGTCACCTGTTGTACAACCAGAAAGCAGCGAGTACAGGCATCGACATGCTTGTTACTATTTTACAATCAACCATTAGAGGAAGTAGGAGAATTGAAAAGTAGGCAAGGAGCACAGCAAGCCTATGCAGAATCGCTTCTCACAGCTGCCTCTATGGGTTTTTTCTTGAGTGTTATTGTGTGCCTCGCGTTAATCCATTCCGTGCTACATTCCTGTAGATAATTACATGTTATTTGAAGTTAAAATTAAATAAATTTGGATGACTGGGCTAGGTGAAGTTCTACATTGTAGTGTTTCTCCTAGCACTCATTGCAAGGGTGAGTGAGTAGTAACAGAAGAAAATGAACTAAGCATTAAATCCTAGAGAAAGATAGTTTGCTAGCTAATGAATTTTACAAGTTGAGAATCGCAGCACCCATTCCCTTGTAGATGCACCTGCATTGCCTAGAAACGCCATGTTACAACTTGCCAAAGCTATAAAAGGCTATAGACATTTAACAAAGTTAAATATCTATAGTTAAATGGAGTTTTGGTAAGTTGTAACATGGAGTTAAATGTCTAAAGTCTTTTATAGTTTTGGCAAGTTGTAACATGGCGTTTCTACGCAATGCAGGTGTAGCTAAAAGAGATATGTTTACCTATAACTGCCTTTAGAACCCTCACCTGTATTCAACTTTAGCAACATAAATTGATTCTGAAAAGGATTCTCCAGGATGAAAATTATGTTTTTTTTTTTTGCTCTGGTATAAAGATTATATATCACTTATCAAAACTTAAAAAAGAAAAGAAAAGATTATACTCCAAGTCAAAGTCTGTCTTTTAAAGACTTCTTCAAGGAAATAAGTTATTAAATAAACTACGAGTGCAGAAAAGGGCAAGTCCTCTATATGCAATAAACCACAACAAAAGCTCACTAGACTGCTCTCCTCTCTTAATATTGTTCATGGAGTTATATTCTCCGGTGTCAATCCACCGGCTCTACAAGTCTACAGACATGTTTCCCTCCATAATTTTGTCAATATATATGGCTCAAGTCTTAATATGACAAGTTAGATAACTTAAAGCAAAAAATATTCGCATGTGATACGATCATCCGTTTCCACTACCATCATAGTTTAAGGCCTCAACAAAATAAATAAATTGATAACCAAGAAATCCCAAGGCCAATGGCACAGTCTACAAAACTCAGCAGATAATGGTCCGTCCCTCTACATTTATCCACTTAAATACCAGGCTTTTGTATGTGGTAAGGTTTGAACTCGTGATGTGCACATATCCCATACATTACAAATTGTGGCATTGCGCATTTACCACTTCACATTTTTTAAGGAAGTACTCACTACCATTATGTGTTAGGTAGCAACAATGCTAGAAACATGTGAATTTTCAATGTCAACTTGATACTGCTTTTAATAAAATCTTGCCTTATCAAGAAAAAAAGCTCCAAGCAAGGTGGTCTTAAGTCTTACCTGAACATGATCTTTTTAACTCGGGACATAGATATATATGTGGAGAACTACTAAAATTTCAACATATTTTGGACCAATCATTTCAAAAGTACAATGTGTTTGGTGCCAAAAACCTTAAAGGTTAGAAACTTGAAGCAACACAACAATTGTTGGTGTACTCTTCAGGATGTTAAATACGAGAATAGCATGCTCAATTTCATAGATTCTATTCAGGAATAGGTTGTTTGTTCATATAATACTCTTTCTTTTTGTTTTTGTACAGAAAGGTTTAGAGCTGTGTAAATCCCTGGCACCATTTTAGTGCCAGGATACAGTTTTTAATACATTGAAGGCATACCTTCCTGGAAGTGGCTGAGAACTGTTAACTGGACCCTTAGAATTTGCAAATCTTTTTGCTCTATTTTCTTGTTCCTTCTCAACACGCATGGCAGAAACCTCCTTCTCCATCGCAGCGACTTCCCTTCTCATCTTTTTGGCCTCAACTTCCATGGCTTTTGTTAAAGTCTCTACTTTCTTTGCTAACATCTAAACCACAAAATACTATCAAGCTTAGCAGAAAACCGGAGTGAGTGAAGGTAGTCATGATACCAATCAGAAATCGATCTAACCTCAATAGCGTCGTCTTTGTCATTAAGACTTTGATCCTTCTCATGACCAGCTTTCCTCAAGGCAATTACTTCTTTTTGCAGCAAATCATATAATACTCCAGGCACAGTATCCTCTGTTCTTGTCATTTGCGAGTCATTGAGTTTTTCATCTTGATTCGCTTTCCATAAATTGCTCTCAGTCTCATTGTCTTTGGTCCCATCACAGGACTTGCTGCTGTTGAAATTTGGGCCTGTTCCATTCAGAAGTTTTTTACTCCTATCCAATGATCTTGAACCACCATCAAACGACTTAGATGTCCCTTTTGCATGTTTCAACACTGTACTGGCCCCAGAAGATCTCAGCTGAAATGATGGTGATCTCTTGGGTAAAATGCCATTGGAGGTCAATTTGGAGATGTTGTCAGCACCACCCAGTGATCGCCGACGCGAAGGACCGTTGCTTGAACTTCTTCCATCTGGTGTAGTGCGAGCGCCTGTGCTAGTTGACTTTAATGTCTCTTCAAGGACCTTGAGCCTTAGATGATATTTCTCCTGAGGAGATTATCAAGGTTGAGATAGAAACAAATTATAGAAATAACATCTACATCATGTTAAGATACACCCTCTATTGGACAGAATTATTACTTTCAACTGGGCTTCGGATTTCGCAGTTCGTTCAGAGATTGCAAGCTTGTCACGTAACTGTTGCAACTCACCCTGCAGAACATTTTGTGAGACCAGTGTGAGCTCATTTACTTTATTCAGAACACAGTCGATTGTATCAGGACAAGATGCCCCTATGATCTAATGTCAAAGTTATGGAAAACTATCAAACCTGCAGAAACTTCCTTTCTTCAAGCCACTGTTTAACAGGCATT